TAGTAAAAAAAAAATCCCCTCAGTTGAGTGGAAGGATACTCTCTGATCCCACTACATGTTGGATAAGGGCATTTGTAGATGACTCACAAAACTTCTTTTTAAAGTTGTACCTTGAGCATTGTTTGGATCTCCCAAAATAGGAATTGAATTTCATTATTTTTAAATTTTTTCCCATGTTATATGAATTTGTGCATTTTCTTTTCCTCTGAGGATGAATATAAGTGTCAGAAAATTGACATAATGGGTGCTCCATAGCAGCTGAAAGTCCTTGGGTGAAGGACTCCAACTGCTGGCTTGTGCTGTGGTCTGGCACCTGTGAGCCAAGTGTGGTGAGAGCCTTGGATAATGAGAGAGGTTGATGAATGTTAGATAGTTTGAGGAAGATTTTCTTTTTTTTAAACAGCACAGCAGTTCTGAAAATATACAATGCATTTAAGTGTTTGGCTCGGTTTGTCAAATTTGTTATTCTTATAGGTTATTGCAGATGGTAAATTCTTTTTAATCTTACTTTTTAATGTTCTGTACATTTGTTTATGAATTCCTTAACTTTAGGAACATCTGTATTTTGTTTTCCTAGTATTATTAAAGTTGCACCATATTCACTTTCAGAATATCGTTTTGTGCAGCACTGCCACCAGATTAAAGAAATTATTATGATTATGAACTATCCATACATTTAGTTCTCAGTTCTGTGCCAGTCTGTAAGCTGACTGAGTGGATCTGATTTGCAGCACGACTGTTTTCTGCAACATGCAGATGATTAAGGCTTGTAATTAACTAATGATTTATACGGCAATTTGACAAATTCTTTTTGCTCTGATTGTCTTTTCCCCATAGAAACTTTTCTGTATCTTCACAGAACTTTCCACTCCTGACTCCTTCAAACCTCAGCTATAAAACATTCTTTACTTTATAAAAAGAGTTCCTCTTTTTAGTGATGGAGGTGGCTATGCAAACTTCACAGCTTAGCAAGGAGTACGATGGGAAATGAAAACTTCACTAGTCAAAACAAGAGCTTTTTGCAGCTATCTGAGTGCAGCCAGCAGTGGTGGCAGCCTGCCATCCTCTGCCAAAGGTAAAGCCATAAACAAGGCTTTTGAGGGCAGAGCAACCCGTCATTTCTGAAGTAACTGTAAATGTAATATCTCCTTTAAGTGACAACCTGAAACAATAATAGTGTTTAGGGAAACAATGGCCCATTAAGAGCAAGTGATGCTGGAACAAGGTTGGCCGTCCTTGACTTTCCAACAGCCCGGGAGCCAGTGAGGAAACACAGATGGAGCCAGTCTGCATAGGCCTCTTCACACTCACTTTTTTTTCTTTTCAAACAGCAGGAAAATATTGAACAGTGCCAAAGTCCAAATGAGTCACTATGCATACAATAGGAAAAATCATAGAGCACTGAAGACCACCTTAGATGTGAGTTCAAAAGAAAACTGTGTATACACATCTTGCATGTATTGCCGATCTTCTTCCTCTAAATCCCCACTATGAATTTTCCAGGAAAGCATGTGACAAACAACAAAGAGAAAGTTCTTTGATTTATATTGTATTCCAGAATGGTAGAAGAAAATGTTGGAAAATAATCAGAGTGATTTTTAAAAAAATGGGGGCATATCTCAAAAAAGTTTATTTAGAGCCCTATCAATTTCCTATTTAAATCAGTGGCAAACCTCAAGGTGGCTTTAGAGAGAGAAAGATTCAGCATTGAGAAAAAAGACTATTTTTTAGCTTATTCTATCCCTCTCCCTTTTTAAACGACTGCAAATGTAAACCACATTTAATGCAAATGGTCCTTACAGGTAATATGAAAAACATACCGTGGTGTTGCAACCACTTTGACAGTACTGGAAGCTACAATAATCCCCTAAAGAAAATTATAATTACTACGAAGAATGAGTTTCAGCCACTAGAAGTAAACAAGAAAGCTTATATCTTCAGTTAGAGGAAAGTTTTGGAAGAAAAAATGACTATGGCAAAACAGTACAAAAAGCAAGAAAACTGAGGTTAAAACCAAAGACCATCTGTGAGAATAGAGAAGACCTAAAGATCAGATTTCTTGGAGCAAATAAAACATTTTGCATCAAAGGACATGTGCTGATTGATTTCAGTGGCTTTGAATTCAAGTTTTAAATTGGACTGAAATTATTATGCCAGACCATATATAGCTGCAAAAGTCTAAAACTAGGTTTTTGGAAGTTGGTGGCCTATATGTGAGGAAGTCATGATGGAGTCAACAAATCAGGAGATGCTGGTATTTATCCTGCATGTTGAATCATATTTTATATTTTGGTCTTCAGACTGTTTTGTTATACCTTTGTACTCTCTCAGCATTGACTGAAAAGATATTAATCATTCATAACAGTTGGGCAAAACTTGAATCCATCTGTTTCTTCCATAATAAGTAACTGGAATGAAGGTCATAACAAAAAAACTCCCCTTTGCTAAACACCACATCAATGCTACTTGTGGTTTTATGTCTGAAACTCTTTCTTAATGTATTTGTGCAAAGAAAAACTGCTTTCTTATGCAGAAGTCCATATGATCAGACAGCAGTACCATCTGATCATCCAATCTGGTAAAAATTGTACAGCCACTTCTGCTGTGTAACAGCTTTTGGAGTTTTGATTGGTACATCGATGTAATTTTAGTAGGATAAGAGTTTTGTATGGAAAATTGTATGAATGAGAATTTCAGGTCTCTCTAACAAGCACTTTAATTGTGACAAATTAATCCAGGAAAATATATAGGTTTATTAAAATATTTATCATTCTTTCACTAGACTGTTTAAGGTATTTCTATCCAATGTTTTTCTTATTTTGTTTTACCTTGTGCTTACTGCTGATCTTCAAGCCAGGTAAAAATCAATGTTTTCTACAAGGACCTAAAATTTAGCATTTGGATGTTGAAACCCATCTGTCATTAGAAACTCTATGTTGTAAAATAATCAATTCTCTTACTTGGATATAGATAGAAGGGTAATACAAAAAATGAACCCAGAGAAACTGCAGTATTGGCATTGAGTACCTGCAGCTCTAGTGAACCTTGGGGCCATGGAGGAAGTAGATTTGGGGAGTATTAGAGCAAAGACAAAAGAAATTTGTAGTGAATACTGTATTAAAATATTTTTGTATGTCTGATACAACTGAGGAGAATGTGAGCTGAATCTTAAATATTATTGCATTTCAACCACCTTACATCTGCTTACTCTCTTAAGTTATTGAAGCTTATTCCCTAAGTTCTGAAGAAATTGGCACAAATTCACTGACAGTTTGTTCTGAGTGATACTGGATGGATAAACAGTCCATAGATATCTGAAAGTAAGCGTTGGCAACCCCCATTGACACAGAACCCATCAACACAGTTCTTGTACCCCAGCAATCCCCTAATCATTGCCAGAGATACACAACTATCTCTAGAGCAAATATTAACTCTGCTGCTAGATGAGATGTTTGTCATTACAACAGATAAAACAGAAACTTGAGCTGAATATAGTTCCTGACTAAAGGAACTAAAAGGTGGAGTCCAAGAGCTCTGCACTATGCTGTTTTATTCTTTCCCTGAGAAAATAATGGATTGGAAACTACCACGTATTAATCGTTTTCATTACATTTCCTTTCCATGTCCCTCTTATATGTCCTTTCTGTCTAGTTTATGACTTCACATACAATTATAATCTAAAAGTGCAGGTCACCACGTTCAAAATGTTACACCCGTTTCTGGCAACATCCTCATAAATAGCCTGGAGCATATGCTTCCTGTATCGTCCCCCTCTCTTAGGAGCAGAGGCTGTTATTGCTGATAACAAATCAGCTCATCTGTGATTCATGGGAATTAAAAACCAACACAACCTGAAACATTTCTATCTCACTCAGCCTTACCACTTCATACTGTGTCCTTACTCAGGACTTCCTAGAATAGTGTGGTCATCACCTCCTGATGCTCTTTGGCATAAGCAAAGTATACAATGCCCTTGGGTAAAATGACTTTACTTTTTGGAATAGAATTTTATTTTCTACATCAGTAGTTTTCACTGATTCCATGGAAACTACTTGCAGGATCTTGTCTATTTTTTATTTTAATTTATGGGCAATTTGTCATTAAACATTGGAATTATTTTTGCATTCAAATGTTGTTTCTCTGTGACTGTGTATTAAAAAAAACCCAAACAAACTGACTTCTAAAAGTCAGAGAGGTGATTAAAATAGACTCTTTTCAAGATTTAGCTCCTCTGCTACAGTCTGCTCCTCAAATAAATAGCTCTAGAATCAAAAATAGTGAAGGACAATGGTGTATTTAGAACATTTGAAGCTCATGGAATATGAAGGGCTCATTGGCTGAACTAGTAAATGCCTTTTCAGTGAAATTTCATCTATGTCAGTTCTGCACAGTATGTTTTGTGTATCCTTCACAGCAGGAACTGGGTATTAGAACAAAAATTTCTTTTAATTTTTGGCAGAATTTCACAGATTCAAGGCAATCCTTTAAAGCTGTCTTTGTTATAACTACAACTTAATGATGCAAAACAAATCACATTTCATCTTAAAGCATATTGCAGGTCAACTTTTTCACCTAGAAAGCTGTATTGTTTAAACCTATGCCCCACTTTCAAAAAAACAAAAACAAAAAATTCCAACAACCAACTGTGAATTTGTTCTTGAAAAGATACAAAAAAAAAAATCCTAATAAAAGTATAACCAGAATATTATTTTAATACTGTATTTGAAAACATCCCATGAACACCTTCCCCTTTAGAGTCAGCTTAGATATCTAATTTGACATCTTACTCTATCACAAATTGCAGCTTTCGAGTAGAACTGGTAAAACTCCCTGCATTTCTCAATCCATTTAATTGAATGATCTTACCTTCTGAAAACCAAGGATCATTTCATAGGATGTTGTCATAATGGTTTCCATTTAAAACTCAATTGAAATGTATATATGTATATGTATTTTAATGCAAAGTAGACTGAGAAGCATAACTTCAGTGAAGGCAGTGTTTGAGAGTTCTGTGACTGGCTTATAGCCCATATTTTTGGTAGCTCACTTCTCTGGGTTTTTCTCCTATTCTCACAAGCACATCTGTGTAGCTGTCTGCCTACTATGGTTTTGTTAATAAACGTATTGCAAAGTCTATTGAAATGGGTGGAATCTGAAGTTATGTAGCTTTTACACCAAAAATTTCAGGTCATCAGTAAATACGTTGTTTCTATGAAAATATCTGTGCCTGAGAGGCAAAGTCTCTACTCTTTGCTTCAGTTTTTGTCTTTCCATATTTTTTGGACTTGATTTTATTTAAAAATATCAATTCAATGGAAAAAAAATCAAAACCAAAACAACTCAGGAACATTAGCACCGAAGTCAAGCAAGTTGTTGATAATTATAGATTTTTTGACTCTTCTGCAGATAAAAATACTTGTCTATACAGAATGAAACCCAGCAAATATATGCACCACTTAGATTCAATATATCACATTCTTTGTGCTTTACAGATTGGTTAAAATACCTCACTGTGTCCAATGACACAATAAATTTAGCACATCTAGGAATGACTTTCTGAGCAGGATATACTAATGTCAGGGTTATTTTTTACCTTTCTCTGATAGTGATCCTACTTGCTGCATTATTTTTAGAAAGTTGCCCGTTGATAAAAAGCTCAGTAAGGATGACCTTTAAAGAAGCCAGGATGATTCCTTTCCCCTCACACAACAGATTCTGCTTCCCCCTCTAAATCCCAGCTGAAAGTAGGCACTCCTGTCCCTTAATGTTAAAGGGTGCTAGTTCACAAATAGAAATCACTATCTGACTTGATACTGTCATTTTTTGTTTCCTAGGGATTATAGGAAACACCACTTTTTTTTTTCTTTTTAAATATTTTTCCATTGTCTGCTTTGTCTCACAAGATTTTGCTTCTTTTCTGACAGGAAAGCTGATTTCCACACACTGGTGCTTCTGGGGCAGGGAATAATAAAGCCTGGAACACCCTCCCTGCACTCAATTTAAAAGTAAGCTTCAAAGAAACAAAAATAACCATCAGGTTTTCTTCACTGCATTATTGAGACTATTTTTTTAATTTATTTTTTAATATCCATTTAAACACCTTCTCCCATTACCTCAGTGGAAGGGATTTGAAGCCTTACCTCAGCAGTTCTTGAGGTATCCAGTGGGACAGTGCAACATTTTTCTTCCCAATGTATGGAGGGGAGGAAGAGTCTGGATGTCTGGTTGTTGAGAAGGGTCAGATCAGCAGGGTGAAGCAGGCAGGAGGCACTGGCAAAGCCCAAGATTACACTATAAGTCACAGTAGGAGGAATCTGGTGTGTGGCTGCTGGGGTGAAATGGGCTCTTTGGAGCAGCCCTGCAGCTTTGCAGTAACTTAGGAGGGAAGATAGAAAGATTACTTGGCAATTGCCATTCAGTCTAATCCTGGAAGAATCTAATTGTGAAAGTTTGTCCAAGCTTTCCGCAAGATGCCTGAGCATTCAGCACCTCAACATGTAAGGAGCAGAAATGGGAAGAAAAGGGAATCAATGGCACTTCATAAATGGCAAGCTATGTCCTCGTAACAGTTTAATAAACTATAAATATTCATTACAATGTTTTCTGATCTAAATGTGATGATTAGTTGTTGGTTTGTGTGTTTTGTTGTTTTCTTTAAAAAAATGAGACAGACATTCATTTGTTAAAATCTTGGTGGAAGTAGAGAACTATTTCTGTTTATGTTCTCTGGGAAATTGGCCCATTATTTTTCTCCTCCTATAGAAGGCAACACAAGAGAGTTCCCAAGGACTAGACTTGGAGAGCAGATTGTGGAGGTCTATCTCATCCTACTTACTGCAGTTCACGTGTAGGAGGTTCCACCTACTCTAAAAGATGATTAGCTTCTAGTGATTTTCCATAACTAGCATAATTTTAATGCTGTGCAGTATTGGTCTGCAGTCAAATGGTTCTAGTAAGGAACTGATACAGATCATGTATCACAGTGTATGCATGCAGTAGAAATTTGTTTCTGTCTTCCTATCTTGACTCCCTTCTCCAGAATTAAATTTTCAGACACACTGAAGAAACACTGATCCTTAAAAAAACCCAAGCAATTACGTTTAAAGGAATACAGGAAAGTTTTCTATTTTTATCCGATTCTTTGACACAGACTGTGGGGATAATAAGCTTTGAGGAACTGTTGTGTGAGTCATCCCAGTAAGAAGATTTGTAATCACAGGGTGTGTATCTTGTTCATTAATTTGCATACAGGAACAAGGTTCATCAAAAGTTTGTAGCAGCAAAATGATGTGCCTCCCTTAGGCACCCAGCTCAGGAGAATCTGAAACTGGAGAATTAAAGTACATCTGACAACCCTCAAGCATTTGTTTGCTGCAGTATGCTTACTACATAAAGTCACCACAATTTTTATTATCTTAAATTGATTGAAAAATGTTGCCATCATAGAGTTTTGAGATTTCTTCACAATGTTTCCAATATACTAGTTCCAATATAGTAGTTCACATGATTTTAATGCAATTAAATCTTCAACTTATCTGGATCTTATGATGTGCCTGTATTATCTTCATTTTTGGATCAAACATATCCTTTCAAAGTGAATCTTCTCGTAATCCTCTCCTTTCACTCCATTTTGGGTTGTATTTGGGACCATATGAGTTAGACTGTGTTGATTAGCCAGTATAAGCACTCCAAAACCCATGTAGCACCCATAGCAGATCCTCTGTCCAATGCACAGATACCTTGTATGTATGCTGAATCAAGTATTTGCATACCCCAGGGCAGTTTTCTATTCTCTATAATGATTGAGGGTCTAGACTGGCTGGCTGGTCCATGGCTCCTAATTCACTTAAGGCATCTTCCTTTGTGCAAGGATGGAAGAATGAGGTGTCAAACTTTGAGCAAGCCCGTGCTGTACAGCACACAGTGTACTCCTCCCAAACCCTGCTGATGCTCTGTGTTCAAGGGGTGTGGTGACTGCTGCCATGGAAACTCCTTCTACAATGATCTGTGTCCTAAATCCCCTATTTTATCAGCAAGCTATTCCACTTTGAGAATATCCAATCACACATTTGCCATAATGAGTAGGACAATGCAAGAAAGTTGGCATGTGAACTTCTGTTGGTGAGTGTGAATGAATTTTTTCAGTATACATTAAAATAATTTCACTGTTTCTATCTTTGATTATCTCCATTAAATTCAGTTTTGCAAGTAGTCTCCCAAGTCCTGTGTTAACATCTGTCTGAAAAGCTGCTGGTGATAGCCCTGAAGATTCCCTTCTCCCTTGCCCCAGTAGTTCTCAGGATTGAGTCTGAACATGGAAGGTAGTACAGATGGAAAATAGAGAATGGGGATATGTAAGACTGGCGAAATGAGCATTGCCGAAGTCCTCTGCAGAATTCCAAAATGAAGAAGCTTGGTAGTAATTAGTAAGCATCCCGTCTTACAGAACTGAGGACTCAGAGGTTCCTTTTATTTTTTTCTCCTTTTTGATACTTCTGTTCATATCACTCTAAGATATCTTAGGGAAACCATTAATTAAGGACCAGGGGAACTGACTGAGTGACCAGTCACTTCACTGGCTTGCTGTGTGACCTTGTATTGTTTCACTTCTCCCTAGATTTTGTTTAAAAATAAGTTTTTCATAAAGGATTCCTGAAGTGTAGCTAACATTTGCAAAGTATTTTGTTTCACACAAAAAAGCAGTGTAACAACACCATGACACGACACTTATTACTTGGCTTTATACATTTATTATTTTTCCACAAATAGCTTTTTGGCTCAGCCAAAAGGAGTGCTGGATGCAAAAACTCAGTGTCAGCAACTTCATATCCTCTCTATTGCCTTATTTAGTTCTTTCTTGAAAAATATCTCTTGTGTTCTTAATTTTACTGGCCACTTGCTGATCAGTTTTCTCATCACAGCAAGACAAATTGTGCTCTCCAGACAGTATTTTCACATTTGTTGGTGGCAAGGGAGGAACCATGTTGTTTAATCAGATTGGCAAATGTGATCTAGGAGAACATCAGTTTAACTTCATAATCTCTCTTTTCCAATTATTGTTTTATATTTTCTAAACTGATCTTTTAAAGAGTTGCCTTTCCACACACTTTGGATTCTGTCTTGTCTTGCTTATTTATAGAACAAGTAAAACTAACAGAAAAAAAGTCTGGTGTAAGACTCTGCTCTGGTTGGTTCTGCTGTATCAAGGAGTAAGGATGGTACAGTACCACCCTCAGAGAGGATGCCATATCCCATTGCCTCTGGGATACAGAGACACTGCAGAAGTCACTGGGTGATCTTCAAAACATCAACAGCAATGTCATTAAAGACCTGCCAAGTGCAATGACTGGAGTACTGTACAAAACAAAATGCTATTTCGGGATTAATGGAAATTTACGTGAAATGTGGGGGATATGAAAAACTCACCACCACCACCCAACCCTTAAAAACATTGCAAGTTTTAAGCTAAATGAACTAGTATTGTTTTGTGAATCTTTAGGGATCGCAGAAATTTGAGGGAAGCTTTCCACAGAAAGACTGTAAGATGATGCTACAGCATCTGATGCCTGAAATACAGAAAGTAGCTGGGGGTTTCTATGCATAATCATATTTATGTATGTAGTTTCTATTGCATATCATGTTTTAAGTGTAAATTGGACAGCCACCTTCATTCCAGAAAAGAATTCCCTTTATTTTAAATATAGCTGCAGCAAAGAAAAAAGATAAGAACAAACATAGGGCTTGGTTCTCCAGTGGAAAAAGATTTTGTAAACCAATAGTAGTTATTTGCTTAATGAGAAGTGAAGCAGAATATTTTTGTCAGCTCTGCTGGTGTAAGGGATTCAGAAGCAGTGTGTGGCCAAGGAACATAAGGAAGAGTGACCTTGGTATCTTTAAATCTGTTTCTTTGCTTTTCTTCTCTGTTGTGGTGAAGCTGTGCTAATTTGGGGAATTTGTCTTATTGTGATCCAAATGAGAAATAATGTACTAGCCAAAGCTGCAAAACAGAAATTAAATACTTTTGAAGTTGTTAAAATTATTTTAAACACAGTTTGGAACATTTTTCCTAGTAGTTTTACCCTAAAGAATAAATCTTGGATATGGTCAAATTGAAAAGCCATTTTAAATCCAGATTTGATAACACTTTGTTCGTTCTACTTACTCTCATCTGTCTTTGTTTGTTTTATGCTGATGTTATTTTCTGCTTTAATAATGTTACATTATGAAATAATGTTACAATGTAATCATAGACCAAAGCTATTTCTGTTGTCTGGTGCCTATGTGGCTTTTTACTACTTGGTCACTCCTGTTTTCTTTTTGATTCTTTCTCCTGTTCATCTTAGGTCTTTTTCCTCCTTCCATTCTTTTTTCCTCCTCTATCCTACAAATTTATTCCTCTTTCCCATTTTTTTTTATTTCCCTTTATCTAGACAGTCCTAAAGCATAACTATTATAATTGTTTTACCTTTTAAACTTGCTTTTAAAATAATTTATTAATGCTGTCTGTAGCTATGTAGAATATATAGAATTATGTCCATATATTTAATTCTGATTTAAGTAAAAAATTTAAATAATTTCTTTTTGACATTATCTAACAGGATCAAGATAATTGATATGTTGTAAGATGGTAAAGCACGGGGTTTGCCAATACTTACAGTATTAGCACTAAACCTGAAGATATTTTTTTGACATCAGGGCCGTTGGATATTAATTCAGAAGAGTCTCTTAACTCTTGCAACCAGTGACAGGACTCAAGGAAACGGCATGAAGCTGAGTCAGAGGAGGTTTAGTTTAGATATCAGGAAAATGTTTTTCACCTAGAGGGTGGTTGGGCACTGGAACAGGCTCCCAAGGGAGGTGGTCACAGCATCAAGCCTGACAAAGTTCAAGAAGCATTTGGACAATGCTCTCAGGCACATGGTGTGACTCTTGGGGTGTCTTGTACAGGGCCAGGAGTTGGACTCTGATCCTAATGGGTCCCTTCCAACTCAGCGTATTCTATGACTCTGTGGTAATCATAAAGCTGGTGTCTATCTTTAAATGGACTGAAAAACAATTATTATCAAGAAGTCAGCTTTGCTTCAATGTATGGAAAAATACTGGAACTCCAAATCAAGCCAAGTATTTGAAAGTACTTTGAAAAAGGAAAGTAACAAAAGGAGATAAGTTGTAGTTAACACAAACCTGTCAAAAATGTATTAAATCGAACTAATTTCCACCCAGGACTGGTTAATAGCCCTTGTCAGTAGGGCTGTGGATATTTTCCTAAGCAAAGGAAATACAGTCTAGACACAAGATGAATCATCAGAAGATGAACTCAAAGACTATACTCAGCAGTTTTCTGTGGTCCACTATGAACTCTTTTAGTTAGCTGTCTGGATAGTATGTTAGAGAGTGTTCTTGTTATCTCTATAGGTGGCATCCTCCAGGGAGAGTCAGCAAGCACTTTCAGGCAGGGGTTGGATTTTGGGTTGGATTTGGAGTGGGGAGGATCATGGCAGGAGAGAACCACTATCTTTCACAGAAGGTCAGTTTGGCTGCTACTGACTGCAAATGAGCCTGGTTCACAGCTGATGTCCTGCTGAAATCTGCCAGTGGGGAGTGTTGTAGGCGTGACCAGGTACGCAGTAGCTTACACTCAGAGATGTGAGAGCCTTGGAGCTGGTTTGTGGGTTCCACTCTTTCTGCAGGGATGGGCTCAAGGAGACAGTCAGTGGTGGAACAGCCAAAGTTATTAGAACCTGTGAAACTGAGAAACCACTGATGAATCTAGAGGGGGCAAGAAGGAAGTATGTTAAGTCATCAAATAAGTAAAATATTTCTACTAAGGCTGGATAAACCAAGAAGAAAGTAATTAATTGTGCCATGAAAGATTTCTGTCAAATTTTAGCAAAATGTGATAGCTAACTATAAGGTTAAATAAGTATTTAGATAGATTCTTGGAAAAGGCTTTCGTTACTAAGGGCTTTAATAGTTAAGCTAGAGAAGTATCTGCTAGGAACATCTGAAATACAGTTTGATCCTGCTTGGTGGAGGTAGAAAGCTTAATGAACGACCTTTTTATTTCCCTTCCAGCTCTATGTTTTAAGATTTTATGATAAGAAAAAAAGAGTACAGAGCAAAAAGATAGCTTTATATTTCAGTCAACGGAGAATGTTCTGAAGAGCTGAAAATCACATTTTGAAGGTAGGCACATATGAAGTTCATTTGACAAGATACAAGAAAATTTAAATATGGGCCCATGAAACCTCTAGAAGACCTCTATCTCCTTTTCTCTAATATGCTAGAAATTAGGGTGGCTGTTCTCCTCCGTAATACCATAGCATTGCTTGATTTATGGACTGGCTGATATTTTACAAAGATGTTTTTCCCCCTTTCATCTATAAAAATAGCTCCCTTTTGATTAACATGTAGCAAAGAAATATTATTTTACTTGTGAGAATATTTTTGTGGTACTAGAAATATTTTCAAGAGTGTGAACTTTATGGAGAGTGTTTAGCAACAGAGATACCACCTATTTTCCCACATTTTCTTTGTAAGTTGAAGTCTGAGTTTAAAAAAAAATCAGGCATTTCCACTCAACATTTTCCCCTAGTAAAACCCTATTAAAACCATATTTCTGAAACAAAAATTACAGTATGACCAAAATAGTTGGAATGTTCTCACTAAGGCGTATCTGCAATACTTGATAGTTATTGGCATTTTAGATTTATGAGAGGCCAGCTGTGAGACATGCACAAACAAGAACTTCTGATTTATTTATTATTAATAATGAGCAGAAGCCTGCATTGGAAAACAAATTGCACAATGTGACAAGCTAAGGAAATGAGTAAATTCCTTGTGCCAAACATGTGATTGAGCATTTGCATACTGAATTCATTTGCTCATAAGTGGTCAGAAAAATGCCCATCCCCCAAGTAAAAAATATTTCTTGCTTTGATTTTTTTTTTTAAAGTTTGCATGATGAATAAATATGATGAAACTGCCTTTAAGCATATACCAGAAGTTAGTTTTGTTGTTTGCTAGTAATCCACTGTCAGAAAGCTGTCAACTCATTCATGTGATCTTTAACTTTGAAAAATATATTATTTTTCTTTTTTCAGACATGCATAACTAATTATTGTATAATTGTTTACAGAACTACCAGGGGAACTACAGAAATTCATTTTGTTTTCTTGCCAGGTCATGCACAGATATTGATATCCATCCAGTTTCCCACTCATGGGGAGTTTCCTTTCTATTTATCACTGGTATTTAGTTCTACCAAATATCTACCTGAATCCTCCTTCAGATTTATCTAAAAAGTTAGTGATACTATTTTAAAAAATCATAGCTTCACTTTTTTTTAAAATGCATCTTTGGTTAATATGAAAAGTTGTAGCATTTGATAACATACTTGTGGTTGTCTATTTCTGCGCATGGGAAGACATTATTCCTAGCAGTATGATGAAGTAAATAGTTTATTATATATATATAAATATGCTTTTTTTAGGGAGGAATCATTTGAAAGACCAAAGTACTCACAGGTTTCTGTTTTTTGCAATGCCACTGGCTGATGCTGACATAGTTTTTATAATCAGATATATCTAAGTATTCTTTTTTTATTGAAGGAGAAGATATGTTGGCATTCTACCAAAGTACCAGCCCAAATCATGCCTTATTGAACATAAAAAATGGGTTCCATTTTTTGACTGTATTTTAAATTCTGAGGCAATATATAAAAAAATCCTCAGGTTGTTTACATACCATAAGTTATACAAATAATAGAACTGGGTTATATATTCAAAATATCTTGTTTATTAGAGCATTCTGTTTAAAATTGTGATACCTCAGAATAATACTATCAATGGGTACGCAACCATTTATGATTGCAAATTTAGTAATTAATAAAAATCGCTGTAGATTTGTAGTGGGACTTAGCACTATTTTCTGCAGTAACTTGTTCCAATCAGTAGTAGGTCTAGTTTACTTACCATTGATGTCCAATGACATGCTCGCTCCTTCTTTTGTTACACTTCTGATCTAAATTTAGATTAAAAGTAGGAACCATGGTAATATTGTTTACATCAATGCTCCCCTTGATGTCAATAATTCTATACTCTATTATCCTTATATATGTGCGTCGTGGCTTTACTAATTCCACACACCCCCCCCGGAGCTGAAGATGATTAGTTCCAGGGTGGACTTCTGATGCAGACCAAGGAGGAGAACCAATCCAAAGCTTTAGTAACGCCTCTGCGAATGACATATTTGAGGAAGATGGAAGAGAAGCATGTGGCGCAGAAGAAATTCCAGCGAGAGAGAAGCTGCCTGGGGGCAATTTGGGCAGCCTTGCTACCTCCCTTGCCATGGCAGGGGAGAGGCGACAGTAAGCTGGCTGACCCTTTGACTGAGTCAGGACGGGCCGAAGGGGCCCTGCTGTGGTGCAGCTGCACCTAGGATGTAAGGAAGATTACTATCCTGCTGTGGGAGGCCTGAGTGAAGTCCTTTGGAAAATTTGTAACTCAGAGAGGAGAGAAGCCACACTGGAGCAGGTTATTCTGGGTAGGACTTTGATAAAAACCATCGGGGTATAGAGACTGAGTTGAACCCCAGAACCTGTGGCCCGGGGGAGGGGTGGACCCGACTTGGAGGGGTCCCCTGAGAACTTATCCCCCCGGAAAGGACCCCATGGAGCAGGAGAAAGACTCAGAGCTTTAGCTCCCCTGTAATCCATGGTGAAGATCATGGTGAGGCAGGTTGTCCCCCTGCAGCCCATGAAGGACCATCGGGGCAGAGACCCCCCCGCACCCAGATGAAGAGAGACTTTCAAGTGCAACAGATTTGAAAGAGCTATCACCCTGAGAGTAAAGAAGGGACCTCTCCTCCTGCATTGATGGGGGGGGGGCGAGGGGTGGTTAGAAAGTGTGTTTAAGACTGTTTATTTTATCAACATTCTTCGCAGCTTCCTTTTCACCTACTAGAATAAGTGAATCCTAGGAAATACATGGGATCATCAGAACTTCATTGCAGGGAAAGCTGTTTAAAATTGTCTTATCTCTCATTCTTTAATTCCTATCCTGTTAACAATAAATTTTATTATTATCCTCACGTTGAGTCTGTCTTGCCTGTGGGACCTCTCCCAACTTTTAGCAATTTTGTGGGGGTTTGAAATCTGGCCAGAGTAAACCCACCACAGTCTGTCTCAGGTTCCATGGGTGTGTGTAATTTTATATAGGTAGTAATTTCACATAGAGCTATGCTTGCTGATTATGGAAATGTAAGCTTAGAATATAGAACAGGTTTAAAGTATAAACTTTTATAAAATAAATAATACCCATTTGAAAAACAATAAATTAGAACTACAGTCGACAGGACCATCTTTTCAAAATTGGTAATCTAATATGGCTTTCTAAATTTGAAACCACAACATCAGTAAAAGAGTGAATCATCATTCATTTTGAGTTTTGTACAATATAATTTCAGTTAACGAAATGCACCTAATGAGATCAGCAGGCTGTGGCTCACACTCTGCCTCATGCCTATAGGGGTTGAGATATATAAAATAGATGAATATATATTTAATGGGCAATCAGGTTAGAAAAATGTCACCCTGCATGGTTATTGACCAGCTATCAATTTCACACTTATGTGGTCTTAAACCTCTCATGGAGATGCCATGAAAGACGCAGAGCTTTCCTTTCTGAGTGTTTCAGAAAAATGCTTAAATTGTTTTAAGCTGAAAAATATTGTCTGACAGTTTTGAAGCCCATTTAAAAATCTGCTTATGAATTTTTCTTATTGATTGGCATAACAGCTATCAAGGCTATTTACTTTAAAATTGACAGAAAAGTCAAATTTCATTTAAAAACAAAACCCGACTCTTCAAGAAAGCAGGTAAAGCAGTAAATTCAACTCTTCAGGATATATTTAGTAAGAACTTCTGAAATTTAAATAAACAGAACAGTCATAAACCTTTAGTTTTGACTGGTTTTCAAAATCAGATATCCCTGTCATTTGAGGAAAATGTACCAGGAATACTTTGGTGAAATTCACATTCCTATTTCAGACTTAATTTTTAAAGTCTCTCTTGCATTCTAGGTCCTTAATGTAAAGTGCTGAACATGCTTTCTTTCATCTCACAAACCTCTGAACTTTTTGCTTAACGTACAACAAACGAATCAAGATGTCATTTCTCATAGGACTGAGAATTTTCTTACAGTTCATTCATCTGCCAATAAAAAAATCTGCTCTTCCTAGTACAGACCAGATTCTGCACTAGTGATCAAATAAATAGCATGTGATGACAGTGGTATTTCAAAGATAAAATTGTGATTGAAATTATGATGAATAATTATTATAATAAGTTGTCTTGCCTGAAGCAGTGTTAATAGTTGTAGATTCAGAGTTATTTCTCTAAAGAAGCATCCAATCTACTTAAAAATCCCTTGAGATCTTGGGAAGTTAAGCATGTCTCTCTGTTGCTACTTTTCTCCATTCACTGTCTTGGAAAAAGTGGTCTCAAACAGGTCTGTGCTGTTTCTATGCTGGCAGAAAAGGAATATACTGGGGAGCAGGGAACACTTAAAGTTATTTGGAAACCTACCTTTGCAGACTCACTTCATTTTGGGTGAAGAATAGCTTGATGCTAACTACCTACTTGGATATTATGGTTATCTAAGATAAAATACAGATAAAAATACGTTATGATCTTATTTATACTAGAAAATATAATCAAAAAATTCTGTTGAGAGTGGTAACAAAGGGAAAGAAAACACCACTGTTATAATCTACTTAGTCATAGATCAAACCAAAAAGCTGTCTCATGAGGTCTAATTCTCTTCTAGATGGTTTCTGGCCATTTGGGGTTGAGATTCTCTCTTACTCTGTGTCTGCCTTCCACAGGAGTATCCCAATCCCTGTGAAATGCACTTGCTTTTATAGCCAAAGTCTTTCTTGGAGCCTTCCGGGGATCCCCTTCAGACCCAGATTTCCCTCTTATTTATCTGTAAATTTTTGATGGAAAATTTTCATATTACTCCCAGTAAATTATTAGGAGCCTGACCCTCCTTTGGATGTAAAAGTCATGTCTCCAGACCAGTCTTTATCCTATGAATTTGACTAGTTTGCAAATGACTCTGGAAGGAAGACCTCATCTTCTTGTCAGTGTCTGAAGGTATTGTCTCTTTCAAGGGAAAACTGATGGGAGAGACTTTGGTTGATTACCAGAATCCTTCAGATAGGGCTTTCACTTTGCTGTCATCTCAGTTATGGTTACAGTTTTTTGTGTGGATGTGTGGATCCACAAAATAATTCAAGTTAAGAGTAAACTTCTCAAGATGTTATTATTCAACAGCATCATTTCTTTATAAACTGCATATGTTCAGGGTAAAGTGCCTCCATCCTCTGAAACTTGTAATCAATCACCTATAAATTGTAAAAAATGCTTCATATGTACATCTAAACGAGATTAATGCCTGTACCCCACAACTTGCTGTTGACTGAGCCTAAACAAATCAGTAATTAAACACTGCAGGATCATAATGTGTATGAGGCAAGCACAGCCAAAATCTATATTGGAGAAAGAAAATATGCTTGGATAATATTCTTTTCAAGTAAATTGTAACACTGATTACCTCTGTGCTGTAAATCTAAGACCTCTAAATATACAAGAGACCACATATCAAATAAATGTGAATAAAGTATAAATAATATTATGTTCTCATTAATTCATTTTTTTCTGTTTGTTTTTGAGCATCAGTGGACTTTTCATCAAGATATGTAAATAATAAAAAGAATGAAATCAAGATGTGATAGGAAATCCCAGATCAAATTGCTTTCAGAGCCAGGATAAGCTTTCTGCATTGCTTTGGTCTGTGGGTTGGGTTTTTTCCTTCTTTTTCTTTTTTCTGTTACACCCCCATATCTAGTTTTGTCCCGCTTCCAAATCTTGTACAGTCTCAGAATAACATAAAATCAATACACATCCAATATTCTTGCTTTTGCCTCAACAGAAAAGAGCCAATGTTGCTGACAGTCTTTGTAAATCTTTCCAGTTGGCCCAATATGGAATAAATTATCCTGAAAAAGAAATAGAACTCTTTTCCAGCAATGCTATTATTGTAGTACGCTCCATCAGCAGTACCTTTAAGTGTTTAATAATACATTACAGTATTACAGGCTAATGGAGGATACTACCTTTATTACAGAAAAACTGGTGCATGCTTTGTATCTCCAGCTTTTTCTAAGAAAATTACTCCTCGAAGCAGGAACTGTGATTTTTTTATTGCAGCTTCAAATGTTGAGTCTTTAAGAAGTAAACAAATTTAATGTAAAACACCTGTTAACTTCCTTAGGAAGTAAAATAGAAAGAAAAGGGAGTGTCGCATTATGTTCTGTTTCCTAAACATAGGTGCTGTGACTTTGTTTCAAGAGGTTCTTAAGCATGTGTGTCACTTTAATTCTGTAAATCTATTGATGCTAATATGATTTCTTATGTATTAGCATGACATACACATGTGCTAAGGGATGTTCTTTTGTCACATAAGGAGAAAAAAATCTAATCTTGTGTGTCTTGTTTCTTCTTCCGTGTTCTGTTTTTTAATTGCAAATGTCCTTACCTTTTTATCCTCTGCCTCACAGATTTGACTTCTCATCTTCTGCCCTTCTGGTACTTATCTATCCATTTACTGCTCCAGACAGGTCATCACACACATTTTGGTGATCAGAGGTACTAGAGGCAATACTAGCTTGGGCAGTATCTATTACCTCATTATTGGCCCCAGATGTCTTGCGTTTCTACCTCTTCAGCAGTGCCAACACATTTGTTTGTAGTGAAACACCTCAGGGTGAAAAAAATTTAACAGGCATTATTTAATAAATTCTGTTCTTGGGTAACTCATCTGGTTCACAGTGCAGCCTCAGACATGGCTGGTTAGCTCAGCTGAGTTGCAGTTAACTGTAGTTAATCACCGTTTATTTCCAGCAGTGGAAATAAATGGACAGTCATGGAAAGAGTCAGAGCTATCTTTGGTAATGCTTAAGATGGTATTTTTGATAGTGCTCCATACCTCAGAATAAGGCATGAGAGCAACACTGCTTTAAGAAGTGAACACACCCTGATTTCCACATAAGAAGTTGAAAAGTCTGTGGGATAACTAGTGATGTAGCTGGGGGCAACTTGACCTCTTTCATTTGGGAGGAAACTGTCTGTACAGCAGTCAAAATCCAAAAGGTTGTATCTACTGATGATCATAAATAATTTTAAAATATTATTAAATTCATAAGAATGCAGGCTATCAACAGTTGGAGTTTGATTGCTTATAAGATCTTTACGTTTTTTTGCCTATAAGACATTGAGATACATTCTGTACTCACAAACACCTTTTTGAGATCCCATGTGAAGTCAAGACTTAATATGGTGATTCCAAGCTACAGAATTGCATTGAAAAGTCTGGGGGACTGTCAGAGATAGTGTAGATCTCAAACTAGGGTGACACTATCATCTTATGTGACTCTTTAAACACACAGGTTTTGTTCCTACTCTTTTTGTACATTTTCTCTAATGGTGTAGGGAGTCCATCTGAGTGTGCCCAATGGTATTCACCTGAAGCTTTTGCTAATAGTACTGTCAGCACTGAAGGAAGATGGAAATTCCTTAAGTCTAACTTTATAGAGTGAAACT